ATGACGAAGAAGTTAAGATGGAAGTGGAGGAGGAAAGGATGAGTGCTTCTGATAGAGAAAGTGAACTCAGTAGTATCCTATGGAGGATAGTTTGCATGGATATGACATGGAGTTGGAAGATCAGAATGAAGAAGAGTACAGACCTAAATCCCCAATAAAAAGAACCTTGTACACACTTAGAGAGAGAGAGAGAGAGAGATATATATAAGATATTGTATTATAGTTTGGAGAAGTCAGAGATCAACGATGGACATAAAACCTTTTTGTTTCTAGGTAGTGGTGTAACATAGCCAAACTGGACTTGCCCTATTACTAGAATCCAACAAAAACAAAAATTCAAAACCTGGAATAAACAACAATTGTATGAAAGACTACAATTTATTAATTGATGACATGGCATTGACATTAAGAAAAGAGAAACTATGTTGCAAATAAATAATGTCACATGAAGTAAGTATATAGAAGACTATTATGGGATCCTCCCCTTTTTCATATAAGTGGACTCAACCAGAGTGTTACTTGGACTGCTGCCGTTAAATACCCAGAGACAGTCAGAATATAGAGAGTGAGAAGAGATTGTGATTGAGTTGGAGGTAGAGTAATAGTGTGAGGTAAATGCTTGTAGAAGGCACAGTTACAAGCACATAGACTCTAAGGAAGTCATACTTCGAGACTGTGTGTATATATATATATATATATATATATATATTATTGTTACTAACCGCATTCCTGGATTTACTAACAGTATTACCCATTGTATTATTGTGTAAATACATTTAATTTCTTATATTCAATTCTTGCGTTTGTCATTTATTGAAGACTGAATTTCATCTCGGAATCCACAACAAATTGGCGACGAAGATTTGAACTCACACGGAAAAGAAAAGATCAACAAAAGAAAAATCTTCCCTCGTCGTCCAACAACAAATTGGCAACAAGGATTCGAACCCATGCGGAAAAGAAAAATCAACAAAAGAAAAATCATCCCTCGTCATCCAACAACAAATTTGCGATGAAGATTTGAACCCACGTGAAAAAGAAAAAAATCAACAAAAGAAAAATCTTCCCTCGTTGTCCAACAAGCAAATTGGTACACACGAAAAAAAAAGAAAAAAAACAAAAAAACAAACAACAAATTCGCGCTGAGCGATTCGAACTCACACAATAAGAAATAGAAAAATCCGTTCCTCGTCCATAACAAATTAGCGACAAAGAGTTACGAGGAGTAAAAAATACATAAAATTGAGTTATCATGGAAGATTTTTAAAATATTTTGGTAGAACTGATAAAATACCAAAATGATCAACAATTACAACTACAAGAACGAATGGAAGAAAAATGGCAAAAGCAATTATTACAAACACAAAAGGAAAATTAAGAAAGACAAATAGAGCTCCAGGAACTAATATTGAAAGTAGCGGGCAACAAGCAATTAGATATTGAAAAAGAAGCAATATTTTCACAAGACGCAGTGTGGAATACCATAGAGTAGAGATTTTCAAATATTCTCTAGATGAGGACAAAAATTTTGGAGATTACTTCAGAAGACATGAAGACATCTGTAACATAGACTGTCAAAATTGAACAGAAACAAAAAAGCTACATCTATTGCTTAGAAAATTAGGAACTGAAGAATATACAAAGTTCGTAGATTATATCTTGCCAAAAAAGATGAACAAATTAACATTTGACGAAGCAGTGACATGTCTTAAAGAACTCTTCAGCCCGAAAACATCACTCTTCCACAAGAGGTGGAAATGCCTTAACCTGGTAAAGGGCGATAATGAGGATTATTCCACGTTTGCCACAATCGTAAATAAACATTGTGACGACTTGAAACTAGCAGAATTAACCCCGGACAATTTCAAATGTCTCATCTTTGTTCAAGGGTTAGTTTCTACAAAAGATAGCGAAATGCACAGAAGAATGCTTGCAAAATTACAAAATGAACCTGGTCTAACATTACAGCAATTATCGGAAGATTGCCAGAGATGTTTAAGTATAAAGAAAGACGCAAGGGACATTGAAGAATCAGCTGTTTCTCATATATGTAAGTTAAACAAAAGTCTACATTCTTCACCCTCCCCGGAAAGAAAACTAAAATTTTACAACAATGAAAAAAGATTCTCATCTGCCCCGGAAAGAAAAAGAAAATTTTATAATAAGAGGAAAAGTACAACATACAGGACAAATTATGACAAATATCGGAACAAATATAAGTCCCCCCCATCAGCATGTTATCGATGTGGAGGACTACATTGGAACAAGGATTGCCGCTTTAGATATAAAAACTGTCTTGAGGGTGGAAAAAAGGGCCATAAGGCATCCCAATGTAGGAATAGAAAAGATATTAATAGAATAAGAGCTACAAGGATGAATAACAATGACAACACCAATGGAAGGAAATATGTGGAACTGGAAATTTTAAATAAAAAGGTTAAATTACAACTGGATTCAGGTTCCGACCTCACGATAAACAACTTACAGACATAGAGAAAACTCAACAGACCTACCATGTCACACACACAAAAAATTGCCAAGTCAGTTACAGGCAAACAAATAAAATCTGAGGGAGAAATAATCGTGAATGTTAAATTTCACAGCAAAACAAAAAAACTTAAGATATGTCATGAAAGATACTGAAAATCTAGTAGGTATCGACTGGATGCAGAAGTTCAACGTTTGGGACCTACCTACCAACTCTTTTTGCAAAAAGTTAGAGGTTGAACCATCTGTCATATGCCCCAGTCGACAGACAGGTCATAGGACGACCATATGCCGACTAGGAGATATATACACTATCACACCTGTGGAGAGAGAGTGGACAATTGGTAAACAAAAAAAATATTTTAAGACCACTGTTCCATTGGGATAATCGAACAGTAATCTTTCCCAGGTCCGCTTCGTTTTCAACACGAGTACTGATCCACAATACAAGGAGGAACTATAAGGCTTAGCGATTTTGATACAATAATTTTAATATATACAAATATACATATATCAAAAATAAAAGAACAGATAAGTATGAGTTAAACTATCCGACGACCAGATCTCGAACTTATTTGGAATATCAAATTCACCAAACACCAAATGGATTCAACTGAACCCGAACATATAAAGTACAAGTATGAATTACTATGAATTGAATGCAGAAGCCAACGCACATACACAAAAGAGATGGGATAGGAATTATAATTATTGTTTTACATGTGGAAAGGTGTTTGTGAAAAAAAACATAGTTTTCATGTGTGTGTGTATATCTTTTCTCCTACGGGTCCAAAATATGATTACTTGATTGTATTCAGTTCTCTCTTTTTTTTTTCTATATATATCAATGTCCTTTCTTTTCTTGGCACAAACACAATTTCATACACTGCCAGTCTGTAATAGAAGTATACACTTTCTTTCTCTCTTGTCCTGTCTTTTTTCTTTCCTTCCTTTTCTTCTGTAGATGGCTCGGTTTGCAACAGGGATGTACACTTTCTTCTTCTGAAAACAGCTCGACTTGCAACAGGGATGTACACTTTCCTTCTTTATACAAGTTAGCTTATAATGGAGGTATATGCTTTCTTTACGCAGGTTGAATCATCAACATATATCTTTTCTAATACATCTTCAAATTGGGATTTTCGAACACGTTATTTCCTTATATTTCGTGTCCGGAATTACCTGGATAGAACTGGATAAGTCATCACTATCGAATGCATCTTATCTTTCCGTTCGTGAACCACTAGCATCTCGGCTTTGGTCTTGCCTTTTCAAAGTCCAGATAACAACTGATCCTCGAATGAATCTTTGACTGTCACGTGTCTTAGTTTTTGGCGCGAATTCTTACTTACTCCCATCCCCTGTCTAGCTTCTGTCTAGACATTTTCCGTTATGGGTAATTGGGTCAGTCGACCTTTTGACCTGCCTTCCCAAAATGTCATAAGACTTCACGTAATCTTTATTCTGTTGCTAGGTGGAAATTAACCTTCATATGCGCGTATATGTGTGTTTAGGCCATCTGCTTTTAATATCCGTCACACCATCAGATACTATAAAATTGAAGGAAGAATTATATAATCAATTTCCTGAGGTATTTTCAAGCGGGTTGGGATGATGCAACAAATTTAAGGCCAAAACAGAATTAAAAGAAAACGTCCAACCAATTTTTAAAAAGAAGCGAAATGTACCGTTCGCTACTATAGAAAAAATAGACAAAGAATTTGAGAGACTTGAACAAACTGGGATTCTATCAAAAACAGTTTAGTGGGTGGGCAGTGCCGGTGGTTTATGTAAAAAAAGAAGTCAGGAGAAATCCGCGTATGTGCAGATTTTTCGACAGGACTCAACAAGGCGATAAAAGACCACCATTATCCACTACCGAGCCCAGAAGAAATATTTTACAAAGCTCAACGGCGGTAAGATATTTTCAAAAATAGACCTTAGTGAGAGAGTACGAAAATCCTTTGCATTAATACGCACAAAGGGTTGCACAAATTCAACTGGAAACTTTAACTGCATTTTGATCATACTGATCATTATATATGTGCAAACAAAAATCAGTCTCATAGAATGAAACACAAAATCCTCTGGGATTCAACTATCCAACTCAATCTTGGTCAGAAACTGCATCCTGGTAATTATAAGCAAGAAAAACATGTCAGTGGATTTCACTGTTCTGGTAAATTACACAGTAAATCTAAAGGAAAATGAATAGCTAGATAAATATCTTGACTTTGCAAGAAAGCTGAGAAAGTTGTGAAACATGAAGATGACAGTCGTACCTGTTGTTATCAGAGCATTTGGAACAATCTGGAAAAGTTTAGAAAATGGCTGGAAGAACTGGAAATCGGGAGAAGAATTGAGATCATTCTTATGACAGTACTGCTAAAACAGCGAAAATATGAAGGCATACTGTCATTTAAACTCCAGTGAAAATCACCAGTTACTATTAGAGGGAAAACTTAATAATAAAATGCATAAACTGAGGGAAAGAATAATATGAATCATAATACCTGGCACTGGCTATATAAATATGGTTGACGTTTTCCTGCTGTCTGTTCAGGTGACAGCCACTGTAATGCTTCACTCTCACGTGATGTAGAGTAGTCAATCCCAATTGTAAGCCTGAAGAGAAAGTAGAAAAAACATTTGGATATAAAATAGTCATTCAGTGTCAAATCAGCAAGGGTCAGACCATCACCAACAAGAATTTTGCAAGTTTGGTACACTTATAGAGCTTCATGATACAAATTGAATGGTACCTATTTTACATCTCTAGGTCAAAGGGTTCCTGAGATAAGACCATTTGACCCTTGCCAAAAAGGTGAATTTTGGAAAATAGTCATGAAGTTTAAATATCAATAACTCCATTGTTTTTTTTTTCACCTACAAAGCTAAATTACATACTATTCTAAAGTAGTTGGATAGATCTAAAAGATGATCTATTTGTTTTTTTGTTTAAAAGTCAAATAAGTTAATTTGATCATGGCCTTAAAATTTGACCTTTAATTTCCCAGAAAGAGTATCTTTAACTTTTTTTTTTTTTTTAATTGACAACAAATTTATCTGCTTTATGGCAAGATATGTACAAAATTTTGTGGTGAACTTTTCACTGTGGCCTGAGTTACAAGGGCTTTGCTGAGTTGGGCCAAATTCAAAATGGTGGATTTTGGTATTTGCCACTAACATTTTCATGTCTCCCAACATGGTCAAGTTGTATATCTTTAGAAAGCTCTTTGAATGCTGATTAATATTCACATAAGAACTATGATCATAAAATCAACAGAATCTGTGGATAAATTTTGACCAATTTGGTGAAAAATAAATGCCCTTATTTTTGGTTTTGTTTACATTTTTATTATACAAAAAGTGATATAATGAAAATAATTAAAAAAGGGTCATAAATTAATGTTAAGATAACATAAAATAATATGAAAATATGCAACAAACGATGTAAATGGTTAAATTTTTGTTGATATTTGACATGGTACACTAAATGCACAAAAGCAAATTTTCAGTAATTTTTATATATATCTAAAAAATTAAGTTTTGATCTGAAAATGTGATACATTAAAATGAATATTTGAAAAAAGATTCTCAACATTTACAAATGTATTAACAAACAAACCAGTTGTTGAATAAAATTAACAGCATTATCTGAGTTTTCTGAAAGTACTTCAACATCAGCTAAAGACTAGCTACACCATTCTAGCAAATGCTAGAAGGCAGTGGCTAAAATAGAAATTTTACTTGAAATCAGTTTAATTTTCTTTGCTCTTTTAATTTTTCTTACTTTTTATTTCTCATAACTGGTTTGTTTTTCAAGTTTTTGATGCTTGATTGGGGATTCACCAATTATTGACAGTAACTTTACACAGTAAAGTTGCAATTCATTTTTAGTATCTACAAAAATGCTAGAAGGCTGTAGCTGGTCTTCTAGCTCATAGAACACTTGCTACCAATTCCATCTTAAAAGTTGGATTCTCATTGAGTGCCATATTATTGTTACATTGTGTCAAACACAAATTCAATAAAAATCTATATAATTATTGAAATCAGAGTTATCCATTCTAAATTTAAAAACTTGTACACATTATAAAAGGCTGTATAAATTCAGAAACTAGTGCTCACTGCAAAGTCTGTCTAAAATGACATTGTTGGAAAAAAGATAAGTGGGGAAAGAATTGAAAAACAAAATTTACAACATTAAAATAACCTGGTATTTTATGCTATCAAGTTCATAAATATTGCACTTTACAAACTAAATGCTGCTTTTTATTTTTCAGGAAGTGAACTAGAAAAATATAAAAGAAAATGTTACTAGTATTTGTGTATTTTCATAGGTATTTGCATATATGTGAGTATATAGACATTTATGCATTATACAAAAAGTGCAAGAATGTTCTCATCCTAACCAAGAGGTTAAAGAATCTTGATGTTTGATCTTTTGATCAGATTTTGTGAAGTGGGTTAGATAAACATTTGTTTATGAGCATATAAGATAGATAAGAATGATCAAGTGTGATGAAAATTGAATGAAATGTCACAGAATGGAAAATATACAAGACGATTTAGAAAAAATTTTTAACTTGACATATTTTGCCAGTATCAACAGAAAAAGAAAATATATCTGTAAAAACAATACCTACATTAATGAATGAATGTGCTAATGTTAAGTGCTACTTTTATTAAGAAATTAAGATATAGTGAAATAACCCATTTGGATATTAATCATAAGGGGCTCATAGATCACAGCATTTTCAATGCATCTTATTCTGAATAAATTTTCTGTCTGAATTTCTGGGATGAGGAATTCTCTTTATATACATTATTTACAGGTGGACTATTGTCCTCATCTTTGTTATTATTACAGTGTTCCAGCAACTGTGCTCTCCAGTTTTCTTTAGGTGTCTGTCAATCTGGGTAATCTTCAAGGAATTTCTTCCAACTAGGGTCTGACATGCCAGCAGGAAGAAGGCCTGACTATTGGTTTGCCACTATCATGAGCTATGAGAAACATATGGAGAATACTTTAGGAAAATAACTTCCACTAAAGCCAACAGTATGGCTGAGATACATAGATGGCATCTTCATACTCTTATAAAGGAAGAGGAAACTAAAGATCAGCTAGCCTTCTTGGATTTACTAATAACTCACATAGAAAATGGGTTAAAGACATCTGTATATCACAAGCCAATCTTCACTGAACAAAACCTTAACTTCAATTACCACTAACTTTACAGTGAAAAAAAGAGACTAATGCCTACAACATTAGGCAAAAATCATAAGCAATCCAGATGCATACCAACAGGAAATAACCAGCATCAATACAAACCCCTTAGAATAATAACTATCCAGCAAGATTCTGCAGGCAGAGAGAGAATGGCCAGGAATATCAGAAAACTGTCAGTCTGTTTCCTCTGTCATGAATGTGTTGAAAACGATTCAAATAATTTGGTGTCCGTACAACATCAGGACAATATTCAAAACAGCTTATGAAATCATCTTTGCTGAGTAACTGTGAACTTTATCCCAAAGAATACAATAGTGAAACCATTTGAGCTTTAAAAGATAAGGCTGCAGAAACATGAAAAAAGTCACACTTAGAGACAAGACAATGAAATCAGGCATGGTTGATCATCTGTCTATATTTCTGTATTGTAACTATTTACACTATTTACATTGCTTGGACATTTGTTGGAATTTTTGAACTGAACTATTTTTTAGTCAAGTGAGTAAATTTTTCTGAAAAAAAAAAAAAAAAAAAAAAAAAATTGAAAAATCCACCCACTAATGTCCTCAAGAACACATTTAATAATCTATTCTTATAGAGTGAATGAAAGGTTCAGTTTGAAATTTTCTGATGGTACCTGAATGAACTATAATGAATAAATTCTATTTGAATGGCACTTTTCAGGTTAAAATTATGAAGAAGTTTTTCTTTAAATCTTGTGGTTTTGTCAGTATTTTGGGAGCCTTTTTTACATTCTATTTCATTAACAATGATTAAATTATGACTGTTTTTTTTTTTTTTAAGTATTTGAGGTAATTTTTATATTGCTATAAATCTAAGATTTGTGATATATACATATATATGAGTCAACAAGGGTTTGACCATCACTGACATGGATATTTTTCAAATTTGGTACACTTATACAGCTTCATGAGACAAACTGAATGATACTGATTTTACATGTTCTGGAAATATGACCCTTTGACCTTTGCCAAAAAGGTGAATTTTCGAAAATAGGCACAAAATCTGGATTTCAATATCTCAGTTGTTTTTTTCACCTAGAAGGCTAAAATACTTGGATAGATATAAAATGTGATTTATTTATTTTTTTGTTTAGAGGTCAAATAAAATAATTTGATCCTTATCTTAACTGTTGAGCTTTAATTTCTAAAAAAGCATATCTTTATTTTCTTTTTAAATTTGATAATAAATTTGTCTAACTTATCATTTGACTGAGGCCTTGGCTACAAGAGCTTTACAGTGTTTGGCCAAATTCAAAATGGTGGATTTTGGCTTATGCTACTATATGCTAACATTTTCATATCACCTAATATGGTCAAGTTGTACATCTTTTAAAAGCTCTTTGAATGCTGATTAATGTTCACATAACAATGATAGTTATAAACTCAACAGACTGTGTGTAATCTGTGGTCAAATGTTGATCAAGTTGGTGGAAAATAAACAACCTTATTTTTGGTTTTGCTTACATTTTATTATACAACAAATAGATTTTTATATGAAAAAGTAACATAATGAAAATAATTATTTAAAAAAATGTTAAAAATTAATGTTAAGATTACATAAAATAACATGAAAATAGGCAACAAATAATGTCAATGGCTAACAAATTTTCATTAACCTTTGAATACACTAAATGCATAAAACAGTCATTTTTTTAGTTTTTGTTTATTTTTTTCATATATAGAATTAAGTTTTTATTTGAAAAAAATGATACATTCAAATGAATGTTTTAAAAAGTTTCTTAACATTTACAGTTACAAAGAAATTAACAGGCAAACATTTTTCTGCTTGTTGGATCAACCTCCAACTACAGGAAGGCATCAGAAAGATCAATTTTGGCAAAATAATTTCCACCATTTAATTTTGGGAAGAGATCTTCTGGCACAGGGAGTGGATACTGATATGCATCCAAGGAGTTGTTTAACCCAGTTGAAAAATCAGCACATATACTAACCTTTCCATCTGTCTTTTTAACAATAGGAGCTGCCCATGCAGAGTAATTTGTTGGCTGTAATACTCCTGCTTGCTGAAGACATTCCAACTTTGTTTACCATGTCAAGTGCAGCATAGGGTACCAGACATTTGAGTGTGAAAATCAGTTTTGCATCTGATTTTAACTTCAGAGTAGCCGTTGCCTTGGTACAGAACCCCAGACTCTCTTGAAAAATGTTGCTAAATTTAGCCTTGAGTGTTTCTGTGAATTGCTTCTCAATGTTAGAAATATATACGAGTTTGTGTATATTAAACACATGCTTCAGAGGAATATCAAAAAGTCTTAGTTCCTCAATCCAGTCCAAACCAAGTAGGTTTAGTTCAGAGTCATTTGTGTGAGAGCATGTTTCGGAAAAAGTTCTGTTTTTGAAGGAAACAT